ATTTGCGAAAGAAAGAAAAGCGCGATGTACAAGTTTGGAGAACATGTCTTAAGGGCATCTCCGTCGACTAGAGACTAGGATAACAAAGCAAACCAGCCTTTCATCGTTCTCCCGTTTCACGAAGACAAACATCCTGGCTTATGTTCCCAGCTCGACTGACGTCGAGCAGACGCGGCGAAATGACGTGCAAGAGGATCGTCTGACTCGGGACAAAGTCGATCACGGACGAGGAAAGAGGCAAGTTCAAAGCGACCGTGCGTGAAACCATGGACTTTGCCAACTACTTTAGCGCCTTTCGCACTCAGAATCTGTAATAATCCGTGACTACGCAACTGTCTGTCTAAACAGACACTCGAGACGCCACTAATCCGCCAGATTCCTTCAACTCTCGCAAGTAGAATTTTCGAATCACGTTTCCACGTGGCCGGTAGGGATTATTTCGGGCGAATTCGAGACGGGAACCACGCGTGTCGTCTGGTCGCTGGAATTCGTCACTCTTTCACCTGGAATCTCTAGCCATTGATAACGAACAGAGATTTTCATAGTTCGATAGTCCTTTGATTGCTTTCGTAAAGTTCCAATTAACGAGAGTTACTCGAATGTTTGAGTAGATTCAGGACTTGAGGGTTTTTAGGCAACGATCCGAAGAGTGGACATGAAAAAGGCTGTAATTTCCAGCGACTGTGTTTTCTTTTTAATTGATAAAACTTGAAAGGAAAATTCGCAAAAATTGCAAACTTTGCGGACGTGAAAAAGGCTGTAATTTCCAGCGACAGTTTACCTTTTAATTGATAAAACTCGAAAGCGAAATTCGGCAACCGGAAAATTCGCAAAAATTGCAAACTGCAGAAATGTGGTTAAAAAAAAGTTGTTATACCGAAATAAAATAATTGTAAGATAGTGGTATATGTAAAACATAAATTTCGATACACTTTTTAAATAAATAACATTATTCCGTATAAATTTGTATTTCCGGTACAGCCACTGTTTACGTCCAGTCCCTTTTTATCTATTCATCTCGAACGATTAATCAGACACGTTTTTAAATTTAAACCTGACTATTTGGAAGGTTTTCTAAACATCTAGAGGCTAATTGAAACGAGCATCGGGGATATCGCGTGTCCATCTCTATCCATAGGGTGCTCTGTCAGTATTAATAACATCGAAACATCGCTCTAATTATAAGATCTGGTACCATCAAGTTCCGGGTACCTTCTACTATCTTTTCTGTACGAATCAGTGGTACAGGAAATTACGCACAGACAAGTATCTTCGTTGTGCCAAAAATCACCCTACTCTAACTGAAGCTAAATTTCATCTCTGACTTCGAAACATTAACGTCATTTCGATACAATGAAATTGGCCTCTCTGATTATTCAATTCACTGCCAACATCACTTCGGCGTCAATTTTCACCGTTTTCCCGTTCAATGCTCGTTGTTCGAACTTCCGTAATTTCTACCGCTTGGTTAGATTTGGTCCCCCTTGAAATTCACCGATCTTCCCGCCACAGATACGAATGGTAAACGCGTTAGAACAATGATAATTGCAAATGGCGTGGCGTGTGCCGCGGGCAATGCAGACTTTACACAGGGACAGAATTGGAATCGGTGTATTTATAGCAAAAGACTTTGCGTTATTTTTAGGGGGGTCAACCGGCTAGTTTGCCGTATTCGGAGTAGCTTAAGCTTCGCTCGGAGAATAGTTTCCTATTACTCTGATATCCATTTTTTCGTACACTCTTCTCTTTCCGTCTCTTATTTTTCTGAATTTCTGCTAGACGTACATTCATTTTCTGTGAATATTCAAAAGCAACTTTTCCATCATTTCTGTTTACTTTATTAAACTACACTCTTACTCTTTCATTTTTCCAACAGAGAGCACGATCTACGCAAAAACAATCTATTTTGAGAAATAATAGATACGAAATGTACGTTTAATTTAGAGACACCTTGTGTATGCAACGAAGAGTGCAACAGAGGAATAAAAGAATAAAAACAAAGAATATCTTTCTGAATATTTTCACAAGATTTCTACTCGTCGTAAATTCAAATTTCGCGCATTACAGTAATTTTCTTCGAATATCGAAACCACTCCCAAAAATTGTCCGTAATTTCCGTTTATTCTACTAAACTACACTCTTACTCTTTTATTTTTCGAACAGAAAACACAGTCTACGCAAAAATTCAGAGTGTTTCAAACTAATAGACACGAAATGTGTTTACTTTTGAAACACCACGTATACGCGGTGAATAATAAAACGGAGAAATAAAAAAGTAAACTTGTCGATTACAATAACAGCACTGTTCTCCAGCTGATTTTTCTTATCGACTCGTAAAGAAAGATCGAAGAAGTTTACACGGGTGTGGATTATTAGGACGAAGCAACACTATGAGCTCCGAGAGAAACGTGTTTCGCTATATCGCAGGTTAACGTCAGTGGCCCAGATAAAACAGGATCGAGCAAATATTTGGACGGTTCAAGTTTCGCAATACTTATTTTCACATTCACGAAAAAGCCCATGGGCGCCAGGATCACTTAGCCTGCAATCGAATTCCCGCCTGTTTGCGCGCTTATGGCCGCTCGTGTCCTATTATTGAATTCGACGAAACGACACGCTGATCCGTGTTCCATTTCATTTTCGTGGGAAATTGATTAAATTCCCAGCCTAACCCGAAACAACCTACGTAATTTGTTTAATTTAATTTTTCTCTTTGTTTGCAACTATCGATATTCCCTCTGTTCTCTGTCTGTGTCATTTTCTATGCAAGTGGACTCATACTCGTGGGAATACATTAGT